GACTCATACTTTCTATTTCTTTTACTCATTTCTACACAAACTTACATGTAAAATAACGAACTTTCTAACAACTTACACAATATAGTGTGTAAAATAACAACTCAACTCATAAACTTACACAAAACATTGTGTAAAATATTAAACTAATTAACAAACTCACACTATTAGTGTAAGATTCATCCTTGCTAATAAACTTACACATCCTAGTGTGTAAAATCATCAAACTTAACAACAAAATCAGTGTAAAACTGATGAAAAAGCACTTAAAATGCCAAAATTAAGGAAAAGAAGTGCATAATTCGATCGCACTCTACCCCCTTAAAGAAAACGAGTTACGCCCCCGTAACTCCACTTAACTCAACTTTAGAAGTAATGTACTTCTTTTCCATTCCATCCTTGGTAAAATCATAATACTTCTTTATAATCATTCCTCTTAACTCAATAGTTTCCTTTGCAACTCATACCTTTAGTCAGGAATCTGTTCTTTTACAATGACTTATGAAAAATAAATGTTGTACTTTACCAAGGTCCAATGATAAGGCTAAATTATTCGTCACTTTACCAATTCTATGCAAACTCATATATATATATATATATATATATATATATATATATATATATATATATATATATATATATATATATATATATATATATACTTTGGCTCATCTTTTCTTTCTTATCAAAATTCATCCTTGGCTCATCTTTTCTTTCTTATCAAAATTCATCCTTTGTTTCATTGGTTAGACTTTCAATAACACTTGTCCCTTGTTTAACTTGCATCACTCAAATCCATCTTGAATAATTTTCACTTGCTTCTCTTTCACTTGTTTGAGTTCGTAAAACGGTCATCTCACTTATGTTCCTTAACATAGTGAACTTTCATGGTTGTTTCTATACAAAACCTCAAAAATATGTTTATGCCAATGCTAGCTTGAATGGTGACTTTGTGTTTGTTTTCAGTCCAAGCTATCTTTACATTCTTTTCAAAATTGAGTACACATGCTCTCTGCATAACCTCTAATGTCAAATATTTCTTTTTTTTTTTTTTTTGTCCATTTACCACTTGGTGGTTGTTGTAATCGTCCTCAATGTATTACCAAAGTTCTCCTTTATACCTTCCAGGATCTTCAAAGAAACTTGGAATCTCTACCTGACATGATATTTATAGGAACTCCATATAGTCTCATAACGAATTTGATGTAAGCCTTCGCAAGTTACTCCATCCTCCAAGTCTTCTTCATTGGTTCTATACATCGCAGACTTAAACAATCTATCCATCATAATCCAAATCATATCACTTTCATTCAACACCATCAATACACCTTAACCAAATCCTTATAAAACTTGTTTTTTTTCCTAGATAGGGTGTATTGCGCCTTTCTTCCATTAGTTTTCCTTTCAACCTTTTACTCTTACAAAATATATTCAAGCTTTTATCTCTATGAATATTAAAATCAATCAACCTTTCACAAATTGATCATACTTTGCATTCTTTACTTGATTTTCCTTCATCTCCTCGAACATTGTTGGTCTCATACTCTAGTTGAACCACATGTTCTTTACTTATTCTTTTTCCAACAATTTCGAGGATGTTAACCTCCTTATTTTCCATTCACTTTGCCGAGTATCACCAAAGTATCCATCTTTTACATTGCTTCCCTTTCAACAATATTGAATGTCTTGACCATGGTCCTTTATCAACTCCAATCATTATTTCTTTGTTACATACTCAAATCCTTATGTGTGAAATTCTACCTCAAACTTTACACTTCACTCAAATAATCATGTTTTCCAAAAATCATTTCACACTTATTACTCCCCCAAGAACTTCCAATTACTCATAGAACTTGCATATAGTCTCTTCTCTCTCAACATCAACCAGCTTTATATTGCATGGTCTTTCATTTCTCATTTATCATTTGATTCCTTAAGTCCACAGAAAATATAGGTGCTTCATTAACCCTAAAGGCAAAAATAAAACTCAAAACGTCCAAATCTTATCATAAATGCCAATTTCGAAATGTCCTCTTTCGAATATTCTTACTTAGTAATTCTTATCCTCAAGTCTAACCTCGAAAATATAGTTGCCCCTTCGATTAATCAAACAAATTCTTCACTCCAAATCAAAAGATAGTTATTTATCATTGTCACCTTGATCAATCCTCCCATAGGAACTTTACAAACACTTTATCCTTCTTTTTTTATAATTACATGCACTCTCCAAGGCGATGTAACCTTCTTTCAACGACCTTGCAATTAAACCCTTTAACTCTTTTAGCAATACCATAATATCCTTTCTCCACACACAACAGTGTACTTATCTTACCTCCAACTTTACTCAACCTTTATATCCAGTGCTTACATTTCTCCATAAAAACCATCACCTTTCCTCCAGCATTCCTTGAATAAATCTCTTATGATTCACAATTAAACTCAACTTCAATTACCTCATATAAAATCCATACTTAAATTATGTCAATATTTTGCAATCAACTCCATAAATCTTGCCATAGATTCAGTTCTTTATGACCTTCTCATATCCAAAGCTTTATAACATTAATGCTTCCCAATATACTATTTCTTGATAATTCAAAATTCCTTAACTTTCAAGAGTTACTCAAGCCACCTTCATGCTTCTTCTCATTTCCAAAATATTCCCTCAAAATATCCTTAGTCATCCTGTTAGCCTTTCATCAACCTTCTTTCTCGTTTTGATTCCTTACCTTTAAACTTAGTTACACTTTTCCTTCAACGAATACATGAATTGTTATTCATACAATCCAATCAAACTCCCAATCAAAGACTTGATATCTTGACAACTACCATTGAAACTCATAGTTCACCATCCTTAAACTCATTCCTTGGGCTTCTAAGCAATACCACTACCTTAAAAACCTCAAAGATCTTAACAACTTGGAGTACTACTCCAAAGCAAGCAATCTTTCCATTTCAACTATAAACTTCACTACCTTTTCCTTTTAATTGTATGAAAGACTGGTAGAACTTATTTCGGGTTTGTTATCTCAAACGTCTTTCAAAGAAGATTGGGTGTATTCACGATTACCCGTTCCCATTGACATGTAAAAAAAAATAACTTCTTCCGCTACTTACCATATAAACTTTCATTGACTCTCAAATTCTCAAGACACAAATTGTCTATAAACAACTTGCATAGCTCTTTAACTCACCTTTCGAAAACTTTGGGAATCGATCTCCCTTTGGTATATAGGTAGTTTTCACTTTTCTACACTATCTTAAGTTGTTACACGTTTCCACCATGGGATATTGATGAATATATCATTCTTGCAAGTTATCAAGCCTACCTTACTACTTTTCTTATACCATTTCCAATACTGGAATTATTTCTTGTCACCATACTTTCTTGATGATAAAACTAGTTGCTATATACTTAGGTTGGGTCAAAACACTTAGCTTCTTCTTATTCTACTCAACTAACACCAACCAATAAGCTCAATCAAGACACAATTATTATTTAATTCGAATTAAGGTTTGAGGTAATATTTATGTCCTCATTCTCGATAATTCGAATGCATAAAATCTTGATTGATTTTCAACCATATTTCATATGATTAAAAAACAATTTAAAAATAAAAATATCCTCATGGACTGCTACTCGAAAAGAAAGAAGAAATGAGTAGCCACTTGGAAAAACAATTAAAATATATAAGGTTGTTGAAGAACTCTAAAAGAGTAGGTGAATAAATATAAGAGTTCTCCCCAAATGGTAGCATTTCTACATATAATGACCTTTATAGAACATAATCATTCTCTTAGCTCGAGGTTAAATAACCAACATTCATAACTTCAACATAACATGTGAAAATATCTTCAACGTTCTACAAGTCGAAAGTCCTCAATATTTCCATAGAATCATAAATTCTCAAGACTCCAATGATTTATTAAATTAATATGCTCAATCCTCCATCTCAGAATAGATAATCATGGTCATCGAGAATTATAAATCATTAAGTGCACAATTTCAAACTCCAACTGATTCGAATTGAGTATCCCTTAGCTCATATACTAACTTTCATCATTACTCATCTCTATACAATTTTCATGCTCATCTCTTATGGGCTCTTGTTCAATCTCGATCCCAACTCAAACTCGTGCTCAAAGACAAAACATATTCCTCAAAATGGATATAAGATCACAAATTTCCCCAATTACAAGCTCTTTAACCATTAATATCGATCTCTTCATTCTTATACCTTAGTGTCTCAATAGAAAAGTGAACAAAACTAAAGTACTCATTCTTAATAACTAGGCAAGGTGTCACAACAACAAACTATCCCAAAACACAATACTCGCAACTATGTGATAGTGTGCATCCCATTATTTCTTTCAAAATATTCATCTCAAATAAGAATAATGAAGAAACCCATACTAACATAGGAAATTGATTCTCATAATCCTTTAACATTCCTCAAAATTCTCATAAAAGAAACTCACTTGGTTTAGCTTCAAGGATCTTGCAAGATAACGAGCGTAACTAACAATAGAAAACCCTTTCCAAAACAATATAATACAGTTCGTACAAAAATTTAAGTTTGGTGTTCAATCATACAATCTTGATATCTCACATATAATAATAATTCACATATTACATGCTTTCATCACTTAACACTTAGTCATACAACATGCTTGAACACCTTATAAAATATATATATATGCACATAGGAAAGAAATTAAATTCTAGCCTATATGCCCTTCCTTTTCCTACCCAATCTCACCACATGCTTTTAAAGCGATTAACACATAATTACATACCTTAATTCCTTGCTTTCCTGTAAAATGAACAAACTAAAAATATTTTTGACTCCTCTTTTAAAATTAATTTTCAAAAATAAGCCCGAAAAAAGACCAAAATATTCGGCCACATTACAAAAAAATTCGGACACCCTAAATCAAAAAAAAAAAAAAAAACGGATGTCCAAGAAAAAAAAATTCGGATTTTTCTAAAATAAATAAATAAATAAATTTTCGGTTATCCAAAAATTAAAATAAGTGAAAATAACTCTCTTTTTAAAATACTTAATTAAATAACACTTGGCCAAGTTGAAAACAAAACATTTTAACACACGTTTTTGGTTTTAGTAGTAATAAAAAATCTCAAACCAAAGCTCCTAGATACCACTTTGTAACACACTAGAAATTCCTTTTCTTTAAAATACCCATTTTGCCCTTTTTAAAATACGAAAAAGGAAAATCTAGGACATTACCTCCACCGTGAAAACGGTTAAGGCAAATATCAAAGACACACAGCATAAGACTATCTTTTAAAAACTCAAATGAAATAAAGTTTAATAAAATCAAATCAAATTTTAAAACCAACTTACACTACAACAATAACTTGGAACCATTAAAGGCCCTTTTAAAACCAAAGTAAATATAAACATTAACTAATGTTAGTGTCCACAATTACATAAATAATTCAATACAATAAATAACAAATAAAGAAACATGTAACCCTCTTCGCTCAAACCCATCATGCTTGATATGCTTCATCACCTAAAAGCTTCTCTCTACTTGTCCCCACTACTCGCCATTAGAAATGGGTCGTCGTATGCCAAGGTAAAGACAAGGCCAAACAAACATGCAAACACACAATCAGCAATGCTGAGTACATAAGCGTAATAAAACACACTAACATGCTTTCATCCTATCAACACACAACTTACCGTGAGCACCTATTTACAAGCATACAAAACATTCAACACCTAACTAGACCAATACCAATGTTCTTTTAATTTTGATTACACATCGAACGGGTTTCCAACCAAATCTCTGCCTCAAATAAATTAAGGTAAACTACACCGGGAGCTAACCGGGTAGGCAAATAACACATGAAAGTGACTGGACGTCCTGCGCAAAATAATAAATAAAAAGGAAAATACAGCGTCCTGTACTCCCAGTAGAAGTTATGGTCAAATATAAAGTCGCATAATTCCCCCTATACGTTCATACTCAAGGTATATACATTCCAAGAATTTTGGTGTGTAATCTCTTTCACTTTACGTTGTTTACATATTATTAGAATTGGTGATTACTCTCAAACCATAATACAATCAATCATAATAAATCATTCAAGAAATCAAACACACCAATTTAATTCTTGAATAATTAGTGACCACATAAATTTAATAGTTGAACCCTTTTTAATCTACCTCAGTATCAAAGACATCTTAAGTGCATATAAGCACCGCAATTTATTATTTTGCGCAAGAAATCAAACATACCAATTTAATTCTTGAATAATTAGTGATCACATAAATTAATAGTTAAACCTTTTTTAATCTACCTCAATGTCAAAGACATCTTAAACGCATAATGCGCCGCAAATCCTATCCATCGGTGTTAGAAACACCTTAAGTGCATATAAGCACCGCAATATAATTCATTCATGTGTACTAAGACACTTAAATAGCTCATTCCTCGTGCTTATAGCATCAATAATTATTATGTGAACCATAATAAAATTCCCTTTTCATATTCCAAACCAAATTAAACATTTAGTTTAATTAAACATGCTCTCTAACATGCCAATAATAAAAGTGTGGTTCATAACCAACATGCCAACATAATTAATTCCAATCACCAATTCACCTTAAATAATCCATACATCACAAATCATTCACCAACATCAATCCAATCACAAATTCCAATCAACACCTATCATGATACTACTTGGAATTAATTCATCAAATTCCAGCATGCTTCTACATATTCACATAATTACTAAGTACGCGAACGTACCTCAAATCATCTTTCCAACTAGCCACAATTCTAGAAATTACTCAGCTTAAAGTCTCCTACAATACCAAATTCATAAACTCAATTACTCTCTTGTTTACACAAATTTCCATCAACTTTTAAACACTTTAAAACATCTCCAATAAGCTGAAATTTTGGTTTAAAACCTTTAAAACTCTTTCTTTAAGTGGGTAATTAAAACCACAAAGTAAAAACTCATTCATGGTGTTTATATAAAAATTCCATCACACTTTTTAAGGTTTAAACCTCTCAAATAAATCTGAAAATTATATTAAAACATTAAACCTTCGTTAAAAATCAAAAACTGTCCGAAAACCATAATTAGAGGCTGAATTTGGCCACGATAAGGTGGTACTCACTACCATTATGTAGTGAGTTTTGATTAAAATGTTGTTTATACACAAAAAACACTATTTTTTTGTAAAAATCGGACGAGTTAGAATCTAAACGTGATTAAAACGTTAAAATTAAAAATAAAGGGGAAGGGAAAAATTAAGGAGAAAAAAAAATAAGAGGAGAGAGAGAATTTACCTTTGGGTTTACTCCACCTTAGGCATATGATGGGTATTTATTCCCTCTCTCATAACCTCCTACGTACTTACTACCCTTAATAATCTCTTTCCTATTCAAACTAGGATTTTGACTTTCTTTAAAACTATGACTTTTAAAAATTATCTTTTTATAAAATAATACGCCCCAATATTTTTAAATCATAAAATAAAATATTTTCAAGATTATTAAATAATTAAAAATACACTTTTAATAAAAATCATTCTATTTTAAATAAATGAAAAACCCTAAATAATTCATTTCGAATTATTTAAATACTTTTAAGAAAATACTTATTTAAATTAAAATACATATAAAAATACGGGGTATTACATCATATGTGTTGCCTTAGCTACAAGGCAACACTTTTTTGGTATTAGGCAATTGTTTTTCACCGTTATCTATGCTTGTGCAATAGAATTCTACTAATCTAGTAAGAGTTGATAATCCAAGTTTTGCCAATCTAAGACAAATGGAGATTAGGAATCTTTGCTAACTTTTCAGGGCACTTATTCAAGCAATTTCGTGTTGAGAATGGTGTTGGGGGTTTGTATATCTTCAATTTGTCTTATTATATATTATTTAGTATGTAATGTGGGTATGTTACAGCACTTACAAGCACCTTCATATTACAATAATCAATGTGGCATTGTTCCTTCAGGAATAACGAGATTAACGCAACTGTAAATGAGATCGTTGTAGGAATGCTTTGAGGACGAGTATTACATATGCTCCATTCTGTTACCTATCTATAGGTACTTAGATTTTGATTATATTTGTAGGTTAGCATTAGTTTGAGACTGATGGTGTTGGTGATTTGGTTGTATTTTTAGGCTAGGAGAGTTGTATAATAGAAAATGGAACTAGATAAGGGTGCTTCAGTGGATGATATACGAAAGAAGATTGCCAAAGGAGAGATAAAAACTAAGGTTGCAAAACAGCTGGAGAAAAAAAGCTATGTTTCTGCTGAAAGGATTCGGTGTCAGAATAGGGATCTGATGCAGATTACTAATAAATATGCTGCTGAACCATTGAAAAAAGTATCCACAAAAGCGACAGAACCGAAAACCTTATCTACAGTTGAGCTTTTTGTTGAGGCAAAGGAAGCTCAAGATGGTAGTCTTAATATAAAAAAAAAAAAATTAAAAAAAAAAAAACAAGCGAGTGAATGGTTTTATCTCCAAAATTTCCAAGGAACTTACTTCTGTGGGAAATTAATGACACTGACAAATTCTTTTTCATTCTAAGGTACTTGTGACTAAACTTGTGATAAGACAAATATGTCTAGTGAAATATTTCAGGGAGCCCGAACTACGAACTGGTATCGGAGTCTGAATCAACCCCATCGGAGTTACACAGCTAGCTAGCAGTAAGGTCAGTAACACCAGGGAGATCACCTTTTTAGGCACTAAAAAATAGATACTGAAAAGGTGGAAATTATGCTTCTCTGAAAAAAATTGTGTGCTTCTCTGATTGTAGTGTTTGAGATTTTTGCTTAAAAGAAAACACTGAACAAAAGTAGGTGTAACTATAGCTTTGTGTTTAAGGTTATGTGCTGTTGTGCTAGTAATCTTATCAATCATTGTTAAAAACCAAAAGAAATTTTGATCTATTTCCAGTTCCAGAATATACACAATAGTAAATTAAATTGGCCATGAATAAGCAAACAAAATTTCTTTTTAAAGTAAACTATATATCCTCAAGAGTAAACGAAATTTCTCCCAAAGTAGATAATTTTTTTTACTGGAAGCTTAGAAATTGCCAACTAGAGTTCAGGGGATGTAGCGCTGTATAATACATAGGTTTGACAGGGGTAGTTGCTGGTTATGCTGTTGATTGTGCAATTGTAGCCATTTGCATGTGTGGAAAATTTGTGCTCGTAGCCGCTTTTTGAATGTGTGTTTGTGCCAAATACTTTCTGAATGTAGTGGGTATAGCGGTATAGCCATATAAAACCTATAAGCTCAAGTGATAGAAAACTATGCGAATGCATAGAGGTGTAAGTTCAAGTCCTTATAGGTTGTATCTTAAAGTAAATAGGAAACACTCTAAAGTAAATAGAAAAATCTTTAAAGTAGTTGAACAAATTTATAATGTAGTATGAACATTTGTGACAGCTTTTAAGATGTTTTTGTTTATTTTATGATTTTTGTTTTACTTTTGAGATGTTTTACTTCTGTTTACTTTAAGTATTTTTTATTTACTTTTGTCAAAAATGATCATACTACATTATAAAATAAAAATAAAAATAAAATTAAAAAAAACCTTAATGTAAACCTATTAACTCAAGTGGTAGAGCACTATACATGTGCATAGAGGTGTAGGTTCGACTCCAACATAGGTTAACTCTACATTCGAATGTTCTTCAAAATTCCTTAAAAGTAAATCAAAATTACACAAAAAGTAAATCAAATTAGCTCTAAGGTATAACCGTATAAGAACAATTAATTGGCTTTAATGATTAATGAATAATGACTATGAAAATTTTGTTATAACATAAGAACTTTGAGTCATTGATGTTTTATATCCTACAAGATGGGTCAAGTTATGAGATAGAAGTACATGTAGCTCAATGTAAAGGTTTTCATGCTAAAAGTAACTAAAAAACAACACCAAAAGTAAATAAAAAAGGAAGTTAAAAAATTCAAGAGTATGTATAATGAGATCATTAAAAGTTATAAATGAGCATAGAAATAGAAGTAAATGAAGCAAACCAAATAACAAAGAAGTATATAGGTTGAGGTTAAACTATTAAAGAATTTCAAATTAAAAGTAAATAGCATTGTATAAAAAGTAAATAGCATTGTACGAAAAGTAAATAGTTTCAGCTAATAAGAGTATATTTTTTCTTGTCTTAGCACTCTAATAAACGATACATATATACTTTGCTAGTTGCATTATCCAATTTTATTTCTCACACGCGTGGGACAGCTGACCAAGATAGTGGCAGCATGCTTTCTTTAATTTGAGGGAGTTTTGCATTGCCTTATATACATTTGAGGGAAATCTAAGTTTCTAACACTCTTCTGTGGCAGCATGCTATCAGCAAGAGGCCTATCTCCACTTAGTGAAAAATCACGCGTAAGAAGACACCCATACAAGTAGGGGTGAACACCGGTCCAGATCCGGACCGGAACCGGGTTGGACCTGAATCGGATTGGACCGGTTTACGCGGACCGGCAATGGACCTGTATCTTCCGGTCCGGTCCGGGTATTTTATGTACACACCTAGCTAGGAGTGACCACCGGTCTAGATCCGGACCGGACCTGAACCGGATTGGATCGTTTTATGCGGACCGGTAATGGACCTAAATCTTCCGGTCCGGTTATTTTATGTACACCTCTACATACAAGTAACAAAGTTAGAACTTGTCAACTTTGCATATTCGAATGATCTCTTAGATGTCAATTAGACCAAGAACAACAGATATGATTATAGAAGCAAGTATGGAATTTGGGATATACTTGAACAAAGGTGTAATCACCATAAGAGTGAATAGTACTACGAAGCACATCACAATGTTGGAGGCTGATGTCTGACAACCAGCCATGTAATTAAAAGCAGAGCTGACAAATCCTTCTTCATATGAGCAAATCTAGCTAGGTGCTATTAAAAGAGGGGATAAATAGCAACAAGTGATAATAAACATGACATTTTGTAGTTAATAATGTTGATATATCCAAAACCTTCACCTGTTCATTTTGATGAACTGGCGTGATGTTTGTTGATCAAAACTCATTTTGAACTGAAAATTACGAAGAATTTCACTAAATCAATTTTGACCTATGTCAAGGAGTCATCTACATTTGTGGCTCTTAGCTACCATTTCTTGGTTTCCATCCACCTCATAGCCTCTTATATCTGCAAATTTCTCCCAAATGCTAGTGCTTCCTAAAAAGGCTGGAAGACATGCTAACTATACAAAAATTAATTTGTATTATGAAAACTCTTCTACTTTTATAGGACCTAAGATATAGTATATATGGGTATAGGCTAATTGGAGAAGCTTACTGCTAGTGCAGTTACACATATAATAGCACCAACTTTGAACCTTTATGTACCTTCAACATGTGGGTAAATCAAAATATCTGTAAAGTAAATCAAAATAACTCAAATCGAAATGAACCTACGTGGGATTCGAACCCACATCTTTGTGTATTTGCCCAATGCTCTACCTATTGAGCTAGTAGGCTATCATGATAAGACTAATTAGCCAACACAATTGATCATTTTCAGTTTCTTTATAAAATTAAATAAAATATTTTAAAGTAAAGAAAGAAAATACCAAAGTAAACAATAAATACTCAAAAGTAAACTAATCTATAGCATTTGTTAAAGCATTCAAATTCTTTTGCAGTTGAAGAAGTTTAGAAGCCATACCCCCACTTTGACAAGTAAGACTAAGACCTGATAATTTCTTCTTCTGAAGCATCTCCGCAAGCTCTCCTTTATATTCACTACCTGTCCCATGGAGTAAGAACCAATAAAAAAAAATGTATGCTCATTCTAATAATGCACCATCGCATAGTTGAGAGTCTTGAGACACAACAGAAAATATCAAAATAAATCTTTGGAATATTGTTGCTGCAGTATACCTCATACCTGTGTGATAAGCACAATATTTCGGCCAAGTAAAGGCCTAACATTGCTATCATAGAATGACAAACACACCACTGGCACACCACTTATCTTCTTTCATACACACGCAACTACAACCAATTCAATGGCACACAACAGCACTCTTGCTCCCAGACTGCAGATAGTCACACCAATCACACAACGCTCAAGCCATAACAAAACTTCGTAATACCCCAACTACTTTTGATCAACCCAAAAACAGCCCCACATAGTTACTCCCCACGCAGCTTAAACAAAACCAAATCACCCTCACCTCAATACCTCATTACAACCTCACACACCCCCAACCCTTTAAACCCTCTACTCTTCTAACCCACGGCAACCCAACAATAAAACAACAACACATATTCACATATTAAGTAAAAAAAACAAAACAAAACATAGAAAAAAAAAAAACAAGAACAAAAAACCAAGACAAAACTAGAAAAGAGAAATGGCTAATCAAGTAAAAACCGCAATTAAAATTAAAGCACATGCAACAATCAAAATTCACAAATCAATCAAACAAAACATAGCAAAAAAAACCCCAATTTTTCGACTATTTAATCTGTTTAAAAAATGCAAAAACACAAATTAATCAAACAAAAAATAGCAAAAAACCCTAAATTCAAACTCGAATTAATTGTAACCAAATCGAGCAAACTTAAACTGAATTGAGAAAATTCAACATACTAATAAATTGAAATTTTCATACCTTAACAGAAAAACGCGAGAAATTGATGAACAAAAGAGAAGAAATCGAACAGCGAAGAAAAAATATCAAAACTTAAAAACGCACAACTAATTAAATCAAAAAGAAAAAAATCCATAACTTACTTGTTCAGATTTAATAGAAGACGAAGATCCAAGAACAAATCAAGGGAATTTGATTTGCGAAGAACAAGAAAAAAATTTGCATCAGAGAATTCAAAGGAAGAGAGAGAAAGCATGAACAAGAGAGAGAAAGCGAAAAAGACACGGTAAAAATGTCTGGGTAGTCATTCGAAGAGACTAATTTCCTATTATTTACCAAAATGTCATTACTAAGTTAAAAACGCGGACAACATCTCGATCGTTGGATCAAATGAATCAAGGGCTCAAATTAGTTTCTAGTTCTTATTAGGAAAAATTGGTAAAAATAATCTCAACTTTCACATATTCGCTTTAAATAATCTCAACTTTAGATTATTACTAGACGGAAGCACGATTTTTTCATCTATTTTTAATTATTTGATTTATTGTATTTAATAATTTAGAAAACAAAAGTTTAATATTTTTTTTTACTATAATTTATAATGAATTTATTAAAAATAAATAAATTGTAAATATGATATTTTTTTCCGTTATATAAAATCTTTAATGTGAAATGATAAATTATTAATAATTTAAATCCTAAATCATTATTCAGTGTTGTACCATATCTTTTATTTCGATAGAATCATCAACCTCGTCCACAACCAACCTACTACATCAATGTATAAAAATGTTAGCCAAACTGAAATTAATATAAATTAAATCTTCACATTTATATAAAATAAATCAATATATTTACTAATAAATGAAAAATTGTTGCGATATAAAATCAAATCTATGCATTGGAATTTTTTCATCATCTTTAAAAATAACCAAAGTCATACATATATTAAGTATATAACATATAATTGTATGCCGTTACATAAACAAATAATTTTTCAGTATCCTAAATAAATACAATGTAACTAATAATAACAAATATAAATTTAAACATAAAAATTTAAAAATTACCCGGACATTGATGACCTAAAACTAACACAAAATTCGCTTGATGGGGTTTTTTATTGATACAAAATTTTGTTTGTGTCGTATGATGTGTCAATTTATAATGGTAGGTGATTAGGGGATTTTTATCCACCAATCACCGTCTGACAAGTGGACCAACCAGGTTCCGCCACGTGTCCTTCACGTAGGCCAATAGGAGCATGCCACGTGTCAATCACAGATACGTCCTCTACGGACCAATCGAGGCACGCCACGTGTCCACCCATGCCAAATGGGAAAACCGGCCAACAAGGCCCAATCCTGTCTAGAGGCCCGGTCAGCCCTAGGTTTACCCTAAACCTAGAGAGTGGCACGCTTCTCAAGACTATAAATACTTAATTAATCCTCATTAAAGAGGAGGGCAAGCAATTAAGAGAGCAATTGATCAAGCAACTAATCTCACCTGAAGAACGGAACAGAACAGAAACATTACGGAACACTAATAACCGGCTAATCTCGCTAACCAAGCAGATTATCTACATTAAACACTCTCACCTAGAGAGATCTTATTACTTTAATTTCCGTATTAATTACTCCTTAATCAGGTACTAACTTGACCGTTGGAGGCGGAGCTCTCAGGAGTCTCCGTTATTTTGCAGGTACAGGCGTCCGGTTCCAGTCTCGGAATTGTAACTCTCCCGCAGGACATCAGAAAACCCCGAAACATTTGGCGCCGTCTGTGGGGAGAGTACTTCAGAGATGGCATCCAAGTCTGTACCGACTCCTGAAGAGAGGCGTCCCCTAAACGACCCTCAAGTTCAGTCGGACCATGACACCGAAAGTGAATTTGAAGTTGAAACTCATACAGCTCCAGACGGGACCATAAGGGCCCGACGTACCCGTCATACCGAAAGGAGGGAACGGGAGCATCTTCAAACAGGAAGCGAGCCAGCAGGCGCACCGCCTGCTCGGCAACAGCCGACTGATGGGTCTGCTCCCATCACAAGGAACGAACTCATGACCTTCATGAGGAACTTCAAGGGAGAGATCCAAGAGTTGATCAACAAGAAGTCGCCTGCTTCAGTCAAGGAGCAGTCGGCCAAGAAGCCTTCCACTTCACAGAAGAGGAAGCCAGTTCAAGGGCGAGAGGCGACTCCTCATCCTAAATCTAGGAAGCGGGAGCCACCTGCCCTTGATTTCACAAAATTCCGTTATCCTACGGGAAATAGGAAACCGGTCCGTCATATTCAGGCGGACGGGTCAAAGCAAACGTTCACAGATGCTCGGCTACTGCTAGAGCAGAAGAAGAGTGACCGATTGTCAGAGTCGGCTTCTACTTCAAATTTTCAAGACAGTTTGCAAAATGCCTCGATGAGGCATACTCAGTCGTACCATGAGAGTCAGTCAGGCGGCACCTCCCGTCAGTCCGGCTTTCATAGTGCCCAGGCGGTACCAAACTTACCGTTTGTGCCGCAACAACAGTATTTTATGCAGCCACCTCCATTTGGTGGACCTGCAGCAAAAAACGTCCAACCTATGGACTGGCAGCTACGGTTGCTTAGACTTGGTGAACAGCCGTCGGCCTTCTCCAAGGAAATTACTGAAGCCGCTCAGCCGGCCAAAGTAAAAAATGTACTAGTAGGCGCCTATGACGGCACTACTAACCCAGAAGACCATCTGATGGCATTCACCAACCTGATGTACCTTCAAGGGTTGGATGATCCCACTTGGTGCAAGTGTTTCCCAGCGACTCTCAAGGGAATCGCACAGCAATGGTTTGGCAACCTGCCGACTGGTTGTGTAAACAGCTTCAGGACGCTTGCTTACTTATTTGCCTCCAACTTCGCCATGAACATCCCTGCGAAGAAAACGACCCTTGATTTGGGAACAATTCAGCAGGGCGAGAAGGAGGGGCTTCGTTCTTACATCAGGCGGTTCAACCTGATGAGAATACAGATTCAAGGGTTACCGGATGAGGTAGCTTATACTGACTTTTTTAGAGGTCTCAAAGACGGGTCTACCTTCAAATTTGATTTAGTTCGAAAAAGGGTGGCGACTCTTCAAGAGGCCTTGATTGAAGCAGAAGCCTATATACAGGCGACTGATCTGTGTACAATAAAACAGTCGAATGGGAAAAGGTTCGACAAAAGAGAAGGACGACAGAAACAGTCGTCTAACAAAGATGAGAAAAGAAAAGAGGTCTGGGCGGCTGATTCCTCTAAACAGCCGGCCCAGAAAAAGAAAAAAGAATTCAAACCATACTCCCCAAAGTATGTGTTTAACAAGGATAACCAGTTTATCCTAAAAGAAATAAAGGAACGGTTCGCAATTGAGAAGCCGGTCCCCATGAAGGGTTCTGCAACAACCGGAACCAAGATAAAATCTGTGCTTATCATGATGACGTTGGTCATCACACCAATGACTGCATCAGTCTCATGCGGTACCTGGACCGCTTGGCTGAGCAAGGTGATCTTGACACTTATGTCAAGAAATCTACGGGGAACACTTCCTCAAAAAAAGCAGTCGGCCAAAAAGAATCAACAGGCCGACAATTCCGATACAGATGATGCAGTCGTCTACACCATTGCAGGCGGCTTCTCAGGAGGCGGCCCCACTATTAGGGGCAACAAAGATAATATAAGGCGGTTAGATGTAAATTCCGTTCACCAAGAACGGCCGTCCAAATATACATTTCCTGAGATTGTCATCACTGAAGAGGATCTAGGAGGGGTAAGGTGGCCGCATGACGACCCTCTCGTTATTGAATGTAAAGTGGCCAACCAGAGAGTTGGCCGAATCCTCATAGATACCGGGAGCTCCTCAGATCTCATCAGCAGCAAATGTCTGTCAAAACTGAAATATCAGACGGACTGCATACATCCGGCCTCCCACCCTTTAATAGGGTTTGGAGGAGGAGTCGTCCACCCACTGGGACGAGTAGATTTACCCATTCGCCTGGGCGAAAAAGGGGAAGGACGACACATGGTAGTCCGGTTCCTAGTAGTAGAGGAACTCTCGGCCTACAACATGATTCTGGGTCGACCAACCCTGAATAATTCCAAGGCTGTTATAATCCCGTCTCTTATGCTGCTTAAGTTTGAGAGGGATAATGGAACAGTCGGCTCCCTAAGGGGAGATCAGAGGATGGCCCGAGAGTGCTATCTCTCGGATGTCAAGCCCACTGTTATGGCCACTGGGTCAAGTGGAGAAAAAACAGACCTTGACAATGTCAAGGAGAGTGCGCCTGTTCAAGAAACAGGCGACAAAAAGAGAAAGGCGTCCCAGACAGAGTCCGCAAGAAAAGCAAGAAAATAGCAATCATTGGCAGAGGAGCGGCCGGATGAGTTCCGCCCTCATCCGGCTGGTGAGCATGCGGACCTGATCTTAGACGACTCACGTCCTGACCGAACAGTCAAAGTTGGGACGACTGCTCTGAGAAACCTTGGTGACGACTTTCACAACCTATTGAAAGAATACAAGGACATCTTTGCATTTGAAGTCCATGAAATGCCAGGCATTAGTCCTGATCTGGCAGTACATAAACTTGTTGTGGATCCGAAAAAGAAGCCGGTACGGCAAAAGAAGCGGAACCATGGCGAAGAAAGAAGTCAGGCGGCAGCCGCCGAAGTTAAAAAATTACTTGATGCAGGGTTCATTCGGCAATGTTACTTCCCAGACTGGGTTGCAAATGTGGTGCTTGTTAAAAAGCCGAATGGCACCTGGCGAATGTGTGTAGACTACACAGACTTAAACAAGGCGTGCCCCAAAGACAGTTACCCTCTGCCTAAAATTGATAACCTGGTCGACTCAACAGCCGGCCATGCCTTGATGAGTTTTATGGACGCCTATTCTGGTTTCCATCAAATTCCCTTATGGAAGAAAGATCAGGAGAAGACGGCCTTCGTCACTGATCAGGGGTTATACTGTTACACGGTCATGCCGTTTGGTCTTAAGAATGCCCCGGCTACCTTCCAACGAATGATAAACACTGTGTTCTTTGATCAGATTGGGAGAAACGTCGAGGCATATATTGATGATATGATTGTCAAGACTAAACTTCAGAAAGATCATCTGACGGACCTCCGAGAAACTTTCGCCACACTCAGGCGGCACCATGTCATGCTCAATCCCAAGAAATGTGTATTTGGAGTTGAGTCTGGGAAATTTCTCGGATGAACTACCACATGTTCTCTGGGCCATTAGGACGACTGAAAAAGGGGCGACTGGAGAAACTCCATTCCTCCTAACTTATGGTGCGGAAGCTGTTCTTCCAATAGAACACTAC